CTAACATCCTAAATAGCTAATTAAATTTGATCCCATTAGTATTGATCAAACCTGCAGAACATCAACCCTTAACAGGATTATCCCCCCTGGACTGCGCTCAGTAGATCGACACACCGCCTGCATATAAACCAGCTGTGCAGCGTCATCATCAACAGGCCAGATGTTGTACCTTACTTCTCCATAACTAGGAAAAAGAACTAAATTGATTAGAACTCCCATCTGCTAGCATGGTGTTAATAAGCAGATTGCGGCGCACTCCTCATTAAACATGGAGGTTACCCAAGGCTGGGTGCTCAAATGGTGCCCCAGGTTACAGCAGAGGAGCTGAGAGAGAAGAAGCACGACCTGATGAGAGGAGGAAGGAGAATCTGACAGGCAGTTTGGTCCAGCAGCTGCTGATAAAACACAACGAGGCAATGTGAAAGGTTGAGCTTGTAGGATTCACTAAGTCATTTTTTCTTAATTTTGTTTTTTTCTGGAACTTTGCAAATGGAACAAGACAATTTATATTTAAAATAAAAAAAAAACAATGACATTGTCTTATTTCAAGTGCATATTATCTAGTTATCTTATTTTAAGAGGTAAAATACTCATTGGGAAATCATTGCTTTTACCGGCTATTAAAGGGATAGTTCGGTATTTTTGACATGAATCTGTATGGCATCCCCATCACCAGCGGCATGCAATCACACTGACTTACCCCTGGCAGCGTCCTGTGAGCAGAGTTATCGTCCAGTTTTGGTCAAGCCAAAAGTAGTCCGGCAGGTTTTTAGAGCCAGCGAAATAAAACGTTTCTCTTCCCAAAACATTATGTGTTCAAAAGAGCGATATTTTCGCATCCCAAAAACATTGTAGTGGAAAAAGTCACACGTCGTTATCAATTGGTCCTATTTTCTCTCTGTTCGTATCAGTGCGCGCCGTCATTCAGACAGCGAGCCCAACAACAGCCATGTCTCCCTCCGCCGCGGAGGGAGACATGACTGAATGGTCACTTTTTAAACACCACAATGTATTAAATAAATAAAAATGCTGGGAACCAATTCTTTTTTACATTTCTTTAATATTTTGTTCTATTCAGCTACACAAGCATCCTCTTTAAACTACTAAGAATTGTGCTATAAATGTGACTTTACCCGATTCTTATGTACACCTTAGTAATTTATTGATATGCCGCACAATGTCCTCCTTTTTGGTGCTATAGAAATGGCCACCCTAAGCGCGACAGTTCAGTAGCCGATGAAACTAGCGTTAGCGTGGCTATCGAGCAAGTTTTATCGGAATTACAGAGTATTTCTTCACTGAAAGAAGAGCAAAACACTGCTCTGGAGGCTTTTCTTAGAGGAAAAGATGTTTTTGCTCTTCTCCCGACTGGTTTCCGCAAGAGTTTGATCTATCAATTGGCTCCTCTTCGTCGTCGCTCTGTTAGTACGTCTTATGCTTCGTTGATCTGATTGGTTTATTTGGCCCGTCTATCACCAACATAGGCCAATCAGCTGACCAGTATTTTCGCCCCTTCCCAAAATTACTTCAACAGAAGGTTTCCAGATGGATATGCGGAGCAAATCCATCAGGTTAGCTAAATACACTTAATTTAAGAAATTTTGACTTATTTCTAGATATTTTTTAAACCATGAAGGTTTACTGACCAAATACTGAAAGTCCAAGAGGATGGGTTAAATGCAGAGTTAATTTCTCCATTGTGAGATCAATAAGGTTACATTTTTATTTCTTTCAAAGCTAATCAGATTCATTTATATGTTTAGAAATATTAGAAAAGGCTTGATTAAATAATGTTGCACAGAGCACAACATTCAATAAAGTACAGGCCTGTCTTGATGCTTGTGATGTGAGGCAAATTTTCAACTTCAACATTGGACCAAGACGTCACTAGTCTGATCTAACAAGACAAGATAAGCATCAAGGCGCAGCTCTGGTGAGAGAGATTCAGAAAAAAAAAAAAGAGCCAAACAATAAAGCACACTGAATATGCCCTGGCTCGCTTCCATGTTGCTCTCCATGGTTTACTTTCCTAATTTCTGAGGCACTGATGACATCATCAACACTGGAGAACTGAGGCTATGCAGCTTGACAACGGAGGGTCCTGGGTTTTTTTTCCCCAAATCGTAAATAAGTCAAACGCAGATTGTTAGCGGGTTTACCCGGGTTTGACAAACTTACATTAACAAGCTTATTTCAGCTGATTTTATCAGTACCGGTGGATCACATCAGAGCAATCTATTGTTGGACTGCTGATACAGTTAAGATGCATGGAGATCCATCCTCCTAAGCACATTACAAGTCAGGTGCAAAACAAATACCCACCCCTTGTTGTTCTGGATTGATGGAGTCTTTTATTGGACTATGAGAATAGCCTTTTGAATCATGACGAGAGGTCTTATTTAATTTCTTTGGAATGAGTTCCATGACTGAATTGTAAATGCTTGGGTCAGACGCAACAGGTGCAATGTCGTAGGATACGTACGTGGCTCTCAGGGGTACAACGCAAACAAGTTGGTCGACTAGGTCTGGCGTTCCCACTCTATGACGACTGGAGCCAAGCCGGTGATTTTAAGCCACGTCGACCAACGTCAAACGACTCTACAAACGACCCGGTCAGCGAGGCCGTACCTACTGCCACTAAAAGCTGATTGTTTGCTGGTTAAAACATTGGGAAAGGGCTAAAGACTTCTCAATAGATGTCAAAATGTCTAAAAAAAACAACTAAATGAAAGGTTGTCTTCTGTGGTCAGAACATTCAGATTTCTATTCATTTCTTATTTCATATATTTATTTATGCTATTTACTCACTGAAAAATATTTTGACTCAGTCTGTTTCACCTGAAATGCCACAAAATGTCTGAGTGAGGGGTGTTTGCAGGCAAGTCATAATAAGCCAGTTTCTTTCTCAAATTTTATTCATAACATGTTACTATTTAACTAAAGTGTCTGTGATTGGTTTTGATTACTTCAGGTAAGGAAAACAAAGGCAAGCCAGATCAGAACTAGGGGTGTAAATCACATCCATAATGGCGATTCGACTCAGTATCGATTTCCTGACCCAATGATTCGATTATTTTCGATACTCAAGAATACACCACGATACGATTCGATTCGAATAATTGGTAATTATTATTATTATTATTTTTTTTTTTTTTTAGACCTTACAGGCTAAACAAAGTTTCAAGTTTGAAATAAATCAATGAAAGCTGTAATATTGTTATGCGTTTTTTTTAGAAACAACAGCAGATAACAGAAGTAGAAAAGTTGCATCAAAAAATACTTCAAAAATACTGCACAATATCAGTGCAATGAGTGCAATGCAATACCTCGAGTCCAGACAATCCCCCCCCCTCCTCCTCCACAGACGCTCCGCTGCACCTCTCCCAAATTGTAGCTGACCGCAGACAGGAATCCGGCTTGTTTTGTTTTTATGACCGAAACTGCGGAAAAAAACTCTTGAAGTTTGACCCGCTAGAAGAGCGAGATGCGTGAGAACGCTGGGACCCTTTTTCCACCTGGATCTCCACTCTTTTTGGCCCTCATGTCCCTCCGTCGTCGGACTAAACTCGCCCCCACTTCCTCACCGCAGCGTGTAGCGCAGACCACGCTTCAATATTGAGCATAATTAAAAAATGTCTGTCAAGCTCACTGCGACACACTGCTGTAAGAGTATAACCAGGAAGCGAGGTAGGAGGGCAAAATAGGTTTAGCGCCACCGCAGCACGGGAGGGAGAATTACGCCCAGGAGCAAATGGATTAAAATAGACCGGAGGAAAAAAAAAAAAAAACATGAATCGATTCTCTTGCGGACGTATCGATGCATCGGATCGTCGGCTGTTGGATCGATGCATCGATACAAAACGATCATTATTTACACCCTTATCAGAACGGGGATTATTACCCAAAATAAGAGCTGTATGATGTCCTGTTCTCTTTGCAAAGATGTAATAAAACACAGACTGAGTGAAATCCATCGTTCTCTGTTTATTTAACTGGAGTGAATAGTTGAATACTTTTTCCCACAGCACTTCCAATATAAGTCTGTTTTGTGATAACGTCAGGGCTCCATGTTAACCATCGCCCGATCGCCTGGGGCAAGTAGTTTTAATTTTCGGGAAGGTACAAATTTCATTGCATTTACCCGCCGGGCAATTATTTATCACTCACTTTAAAATCACCGACATTCGCTGAAAACGACCCACAAGCGTTGCCGGCGCCATTTTTGTTGTTTTGTACACATTCTCGCGTGATTTGAAAAAGCCGGGTGATTTTCCGCCAGATGGCGTGATTTTTGTCCACCTAGCAGTAATTTTGATGTAGTTACGAAAAAGGACAAACGAGTTAGAAAGCGCTATCATATGGCAGTCTTCTGTACAGTGATGCAGGTCATACATTAAACAATGTTCATTAAATGTTTTTCTCTCAGACATTGGAGAGGTGCATTTACATGTTATAGAGCTAAACATGTTAGATTGGTGACCTGTTATGTTATTATTATTGTCTTGTTGCTGCATTTATTTTGTCAGGGAAAACTAATCCTGAGTCAGTTAAAAGTCAGGGAATTCTGAAATGATGTCAGACTGTGGAAACCCTGAATAAAATAACTATGTATAATGATTCTATAGAAAAGTCACATTATATTAATAGTATTATCTTCTATAAACAGACCGTGACTCTAAAATAAAAGTTATTCATTGGTGACATTGATCTCTGTCTTATGATTTATCTTAAGTTTTTAACCTGTCAAGTTTTTTTTAGATTTTTAACAAAAACAAACATGTTTCATTGATATATATACAGAAATGAATATTAGGAAGTATATTTATCCAACATTATACTGGGCAAGTAAAAATGGTTTCTGGGCAAATGAAATGTGAAAGTGCAAGTGGTAAAAATCCTTAACGTCAACCCCTGAACGTGTTAGCTTCCTTAAACGTGTCTGATTTTTTTCTCGGGATATTGACATTGACACACCCTTTCCATGTGCTGCTTTCTTTCAGATATGTGACAAGGAGTGGCATTACTACGTCATCAACGTTGAGTTCCCCGTGGTTACGCTCTACGTGGACGGAGTCACTTACGATCCCTACCTGGTAACGGACGACTGGCCGATCCACCCATCGCAGATCGATGTGCAGCTCACAGTTGGTGCCTGCTGGCAAGGTAATGATGTCAGAATCAAGATAATAAAAAAGGTTTATTGCCAAGTGGTTTTTCTTTCGCTTTGGTTATGAGGTATCAACATAGACAAACATACAGCTGAAACAAATGAATTTGCAACTATATAATGTAATAAACAAATATACGAATATTATGAGAAGAGATAAAAAATATCGCTACTTTTTAACAAGGAAGAATATCATCGCTTTTATTACAAATATACAATAGCAACAAAAAAAAATATAGTAAAAATGTTTTATTTTATCTTATTTTAACAGAAAAGGGTCGTGGGGGTCGTATTTATGAGGCTAGCTTGGTTCTGATCGACCACAGATGTGGAGTGGATTTTGTTCCATCCTTTTTGAAAGTAGAAAATGTCTCGTTAATATAAATTCACAAAAAATCGTAAATGAAATTACGAAAGAGGATTAGGGCCACAAAAAAAAAAAAGAAAACTGATTTTCAAATTTTATTTCAGTTTAACATGAGAAAAAAGTCAGAATTCTGACTTTCTCAGAATTCTGACTGAATTCTGACAATAAACAAAGTCAGAATTCTGAGAAAAAAAGTCAGAATTCTGACTTTAATCTCAGAATTCTGACTTTAATCTCAGAATTCTGACTTTTTTCTCAGGATTCTGACTTTAATCTCAGAATTCTGAGAAAAAAGTCAGAATTCTGAGATTAAAGTCAGAATTCTGACTTTTTTGCCATACTATACTGAAATAAAATAAAAAAAAAAATCAGTAAACTTTTATTTCTTTCAGTGGCCCTAATCCTCTTCTGTATGAAATATATTGTGCGAGTATGCTCGCACAATATCTGGCGGGCCAATCAAATTGTCAGGGCGGGCTTTATACGATGATGGACAGATGATCAACAGTAACGTAATCAACCACGTCACCAAAGCGCGCTTGGGTGACAACAACAATGGCTGCCGCTGGACAGTTGAGGTGAGTAGATTCTGCTATTAGGTCTGTTCTAGAAGATATCGACAGCAAATTAATTTTAAAAGAGGAACAGAGAAACGCGATCAAGGCTCATCTTCTTATTCTAGGCGTGCAACTGCACGCCTAGAATAAGGCAACTCCATTGCTCTTATTGGTTGTAGGTCTATCCAATTGAGTGCAGAGGCATTTTTTTTCCTGGTTCGTTCGAAATACGCCCCATAATCACAGCTCTATGGAGCAGCATCAGACTCATATTCTGACTAGAATTGAGTAGGACTACGTCAGGCTAGGTTGCTCTAGCCTCGTGAGACCATCCTGATGTCGCGAGCTTTCAAGGTTTCACTCGCTAATCAGTTTGGAGACTCTCCATTAAAGAAAATTTGGAGCCGTTCACCAAACGAACGTCCAATCAGCGTTGGCTTTGAGGCGGGTTGAGGTGTGACGCAACGAGAAGCGCGACAGTTCAGTCTAAAGAACATGGCGGCTTCAGCCGATGAAACTAGCGTTAGCGTGGCTATCGAGCAAGTTTTATCGGAATTACAGAGTATTTCTTCACTGAAAGAAGAGCAAAACACTGCTCTTGAGGCTTTTCTCAGAGGAAAAGATGTTTTTGCTCTTCTCCCGACTGGTTCCGGCAAAAGTTTGATCTATCAATTGGCTCCTCTTCGTCGTCGATCTGTTAGTACGTCATATGCCTCGTTGATCTGATTGGTTTATTTGTCCCGTCTATCACCAACATAGGCCAATCAGCTAACCAGTATTTTCGCCCCTTCCCAAAATTACTTCTACGGAAGGTTTCCAGATGGATATGCGGAGCAAATCCATCTGGCGGAGTCAGGTTAGGTTGCTCTGCTCCATGTGTGTGGGTGTCTCGTTAGACCCACCCACAAGGTAGCCCCTCCAGAATTTGGCATATGATTATGGTCCAATAAAAAAAACTGGGAAAACCAGACATTTTCTGGTTCATAATCCCCCTGCGGACGTCCCAGACAGAAAGTAAAAAGTGGATATGTCCAGGAAAACGACGACGTTTGGTCACCATATTAAAACTATTTATTTAAAAAATGTGGGGGGTTTTAATTTCGTTTAAAAAATGTGTTATTTGCTTAAGGGAATAATAATGGAACAAAATGCACCCAATATGCAGCCTCCTGCCAGAGGGGAGGGTCTGAAACACTTTGTGTCCAGGGTGGAAGGGCTCAGGTGTCATTTTTCCAGCTTGCCTCCGAGTCCTGGAGGTGTACAGTTTTAGAAGAGAATGAATATTGCCGCCATCCAGCCTCTCTGCACAGCCAGTGATTCTCTGATGGTGAAGCAGAAGGTGAGGTTGGACTCAGTAATGGCGGAGTAGAAGTGCTCCATCATTGTCTCCCTTAGGGAGTACATCCTCTGCTGAGCCTGCTGTTTTTCTTTCAAATTTCAATCGCCTCACTTGAAACCAGAGAAGTTCAAATGAAAAAAAAAAAAAAAGTTTGGACTTGCAGTAAAAGTCAAAGTCATTATTTTAGTTTTAGGGATTCAGCTTCTTCCTAATATTAAAAAACTCCAAGATAATAACGCTGAAGTATTACTTTCAGGGAGGCGCTGAGTGTGGAACATGTTCTTTGGCCTTGAATGAACAATGTAATTAAGAAGAGCGCTTAGTCTGCCTTTGACAAACGACTGACCCAGACTGAGTGAAGGCCCGCTATTAAACTGTCCTCTAAACTGATAGCTGCTGCTAATTGGACATAGATATGAGAAAAGGGACTTTTTACCCCCCCGGTCCTCCCGACCATTGATCTGACAGACCAAAGAGCAGCTCGGTGGACGCTCTGCCTCAGATGAAGATATCCCTCTGCGTGAGAGCCTGAGCGGGTCATCTTTTGTGGCTTTCATCCGTGGCAGCCCCCCGCTCTCGTCCTCCCTCCCCGTTCATTGGGTGAACACAGCGCTGCGTACTTTTGGGGAGATTAAAAGGGGCTCGAATTGAAAAGGGAGTTAAGAGAGTATTGCAGCTGTTTTACAATAAGGGGCTAAGCCTGAGTTAAGAGTCATAAAGACACGACTGAAATCTTAACCTAAGCCATTAGCCACAGCAGATTGCCTTTTCAAAGTGTTAAGCTGTTAGTGTCAGCCATATTGATTGCAAAGATGAGCTCATCTGTTGTCTGAGTGACTCCTGAAGCCTCTGCTCTGAACCCATTTTCAGAGCAGGATTGCCGGAGCGATTATCTCCATTTTCTAGTTTACTGGTTGGAGTTTTATTTATAGAAATATATAACGTGTAAATAAAAAGAATTAAAAAAACAGCAGCCGATATAAAGTTCTCTCAGTAAATGGCTTGATGAAGTGTGATGGCGGAGTAAATAAAGGATTTGTCAGCTCTAAACAGTACAGTGATAGTGTGTTGTATTTAATTCAATTTAATGATTTAATTTCATGGTTCATAACACCCAAATGGGTAGAGAGCATTGTCTAATGATAGCGGGCTCTGGTTGGACCACAGCCAATACGTTCGGTGTGGAATATTTGTTTTTTTAACCTGTTTTCCCTGAATGAGCTATTCTGGTTGAATGTGAGAGGATCTGCAGACATATCATGAACAGCAGCTGCTTATATGTAAGAGTTCAGCTTTATAATTTGTGCCTGAGGAAGAAATGCTTTATGGGCCAGGATAGAGATTTTTATTTTATTTTTGTTTCCTTTTTGATAATGAATTTGTAACATTATGAGCATAAACTCAAAATATTACGAGAATGAAGTCATAGTATTACGAGAATGAAGTCATAGTATTACGAGAATGAAGTCATAGTATTACGAGAATGAAGTCATAGTATTACGAGAATGAAGTCATAATATTACGAAAATGAAGTCATAGTATTACGAAAATGAAGTCATAATATTACGAGAATGAAGTCATAATATTACGAGAATGAAGTCATAGTATTACGAGAATGAAGTCATAATATTACGAGAATGAAGTCATAGTATTACGAAAATGAAGTCATAGTATTACGAAAATGAAGTCATAGTATTACGAAAATGAAGTCATAGTTTTACAAAAATGAAGTCATAATATTATGAGAATGAAGTTATGACGTTACGAGACTAAAGTCGTTACATTACAAGAATAAAGTCGTAATATAACAAGAATATAGTTGTGATATTACATGAATGAAGTCATCATACAACAACCTGTTTCAGAAAGAAAGCTTGGAGCTCCGCCCAGCAGATGACGGCCGACCAGCTCCACCAATCAGCAACCAGAGTCCACTTTGACATCCTGCCCAGTTTGATGCTGCTGCTAAAAGATTTCCTGATTTGTCAAACTGATGCTAAAGTATAACTTCACACGATGCTCCACATTCCTCATTTTAGGGAAGAAAGGGCTTCTTGTAAAATACAACTTGTTTCTAGTAATTTTAGGACTTAATTCTCGAAATAGAGAAAGGAAAAAAAATGTATAGCCTGGCCCTAATACTCCATTGTAGGTAATAGACCAACATAACTAAAATATGTGACATTACAATAAAGTTATGTGAATAATTCAATAAATAAATATGCATATCTTTTATCCATCTTTGAAAAAGAAAATGATTCAACTAACTAACCTAATATTAACCACCAGTGCCGTGCACAGACATTTTGGGGGGCGCATGCTTAAGGAGCAAAAAAGGGGACTTTTATGACTTTCGCTGTCCTAGCAGTGTTTAGAACTTCAACATCACCTATATAGCATACTTCAAATGAGTAGCCATCTACTGTCTGATAAATGTCTTTAAAGGAGAAGCCTGGTCAGCAAGAAATAACCAATGGATCGTTATTTATATCTAAAACTAATACATGTTCCCCAAACCAGACCCCCTCCGGTCCTTGGCTGCGCCTAGAAATCCTGTCCATAAAAGTTATGAACAGGACCGGTGACAGAGGGCAGTCCTGTCGGAGTCCAACATGCACTGGGAACAGGTCCGACTTAATGCCGGCAATGCGGACCAGACTCCTGCTCCGCTTGTACAGAGAACGGATGGCCCCTAATAAAGGGCCCCCGACTCCATACTCCTGGAGCACCCCC